CTGCGCGGCCCCGCTCCGCGCCCGCTGCGCCCGCACACCGCCCCTGCCGGCCTGGCGGCAGCACGGCCCGCGGGGGAGGCTGCGGATGGAGGGTGGGGTGGGAAGGGGAAGGGGATGGGAGTGAGGAGGGGGGTGGGATGGGGATGATGAGGAGAGAGGATGGGATGGGAAAGGGGATGGGGATAGGGGTAGGGAAAAGGATGGGATGGGAAAATGAAAGGGAATGAGGAGAGGGGAGAGGATGGGATGAGAAAGGGGATGGGGATAGGGGTAGGGAAAAGGATGGGATGGGGAAAGGGGATGGGGAAAGGGGATGGGGATGAGGAGAGGATGGAATGGGAAAGGGGATAGAATGAGGAGGGGGGTGGGATGGGGATAGGGGAGAGGATGGGATGGGATGGGAAAGGAATGGAGATGCGGAAAAGGATGGGATGGGAAAGAGGATGGGGATAGGGGAGAGGAGGGGATGGGGAAAGGGATGGGGATGGGGGAGAGGGAAAATGATGGGATGGGAAAGGGGATGGGAACCAGGAGAGGGAAAATGATGGGATGAGGAAAGGGGATGGGGATGGGGGGAGGATGGGATGGGGAAAGGAAAGGGGATGGGAATAAGAATGGGGATGGGATGGGATGGGTAAGGGGATGAGGATAAGGAGAGGGAAAATGATGGGATGGGGAAAGGAAAGAGGATAGGATGGGAAGGGGGATGGGGATGAGGAAAGGGGAGAGGATGGGATGGGAATGGGGATGGGGATAGGGATAGGGAGGGAAATCATAAGATAAAAGAAAGGTGTGAGAATAAGAATGGGGATGAGGAAAGGGAAAAGGATGAGAATAAGACTAGGGATGAGGAGAAGGAAGAGAATGGGATGAGGGAAGGAGAATCAGGAAAAAACTCTTTAGTGCCACACAGGTGATGTATTTGGAAAGAATTCACCTTTATTTCTCTAAAATCCCCAAAAACGACAACCAGAAAATGAAGATTTCAGAGCAGCATCCTTAGGTCTCAAAGAATGTCCTGCTTATTTTAAAAACCCCTTTTTCAGTTAAACCCCAAAAATATGAGTTGAGCTTTCTGTCCTAGCAGGCTCTGCAAGCACCCCAGAGTGCTCCTGGCATGGAAAGTGCTCCCTGAATCCATCAGAACCACTGTGCAGGAATGGGAAAATTCCCTTTGGTGGGATCACAACTCCGGCATGAGCAATATTTTCTGAGATCCTGAGCTTTATGGAGTTTTTGCAGCATGAAACTCAGGCAAAACATTAACATTTGGTCCCCTCAGTTGGTATTTAATGACCTCCTGGGTTCTCAGGTGCCCACCCAGAGCCTGGACCTGCTGGGAGCTCTGTTCTTGCTCCCTGAGCTTCGCTTTCACTTCTGACAGCTGGAAATAATAATTGTCAGATGATTACCCCCGAGCAGACGTGAGCAGGCTGGCTCTGTGACTCACAAAAAGCTGCCCAGAAAGCACAGAAGAGAGGAGATCACTTTCATGCTGCAGTCAAACCAGCAGCTAATCCAATTAAAGAGGACAGAGGAATGCAGGATGCGCCCCTGGCCCATCAGGGCTAATACCTCGAGTCTTGCAGAGCTCAGGCCTTAACACTTCAGCAAAAAAGAAATAGGAGGCACCAAATCTCTTGCTGATAGTGCTGTGCCCTCTGTGATAGAGGGAATAGTCTTGCAGGGAGCAGAGAATGTCCTGAGGGATAAAAGCTGCTCACCCTTTTCTTCATTTACAGAGCAGTTACCACACAGGGAATAAGCAAACCCTTCTAAAAAAGCCATTCTTTAAAACCTTTTTGGAATTACAGCAATGCTGTTGCTTGTCTTGGGGAATTCTGAGAGCTCATCACACTCTGGGTGCTCAGGCAGAGCTTCTGACCTAAACCACTGCCCCAAGATGTTTTTGGTTTAGGGATTCTAAATTTTTACTGCAGAATCTCTAAAACAATTCTTGAACCTCAGGTAGAACACATGACCTTAATATTCCCTGGGAAAAGAACTGAACCCCTCTGTTCTTTGCAAACAATTTGGCAGTATTTCACAAAATAAGTGTGTGAAAAGATGGGACAAAAGGGAAACCAAAGCTCTGAGCACCCACCCAGAGGTGTCCTGGGTGGTTTTCATATCAAGGATTTATTTGTAAAAGAACAAAATTTCACCTTGAGGATTGTTGGCAAGATCGGCATTGACACAGAAGATGAACTAAAGATGGAAATGATTCGAGAGCAGAATGAGGAGCAGAGAGAATTTCAACTTCTGGATCTGGTCTGGAAGATCTTCAAGGTTTTTTTTCCCATTTATTCTCCCTCTGTGTGCAGTGGACCTTGGGCAGTCACTGGCAAGGAAATGGAGACATTAAACACTAGAGGGAAGCAAAAGACTTTGCAGTAACCTCTGCAAACTCCCCGGGGCTTAAATGTAATAAACATTTATTTGTGTTTTAGGTCCTTTTACATCTAAACCTTTTAGAAAAGATTTAAGTTGAAATATATATAAAAAGTTTCAGATATAAAAATAAAAGTAGTTACAGAGGTAAACAAGGAGTTTAGAGTGCAGAACTGGAGGTTTGTGTGTCATAACATGATTAACGAAGAAAGCTTACACTGTAACTTGGGTCCATAAGATGAAATATTTAAGGATTGGGTCAAAAACATAAATATCTTTGTTGGCAGTGTTTTATTGGTTAATAAATCTTTAAAAGGACTTGTAACTAAGGGTCTTGTGACCTTCTGAACCCTGCTGTGAAGATGTGAGCTGAACTCACCCTTCCTGCTTATGTAGAAGATAAGAAAAATAAACTCATCATCAAATCCAACTCAGAGATCCTGTCTCTAATTCCTTCCAAAATCCCCCACAAGTGAATTATCCCAATATCCTGCCTTGATCCTTCAAATCCTTGTCCCTGCAGTGTCCAGGAGCTGTTTCCATCAGCGGCCCTGGGAGAACTCTGCTCTGCCAGCTCAGGGGCTGGGAGGCCTCCAGGAGCAGAATGTGCAGCAGGAACTGTGCAAGGTGTTAGTCCTGCAAGGAAAAGAGGAATTTGGGCTGGCAGGGAGATCTAAATTCCAGCAGGAAATGTTACCTTCCCTTCTGGACCTGCAAAGTGAAATTTAGAAGGGCTGCCAGCCTTCCTCTCTGCTGGATGGTTTGAGCTCCATCTCCAGCTGCAGGTTTGTTCCTTATACAACATTTCTGGAGAGCTGAAATTCCTCTGGGGGCCCCATGACCCTGTCAAGTAATGATGTCCCAGGTGGAAATTTTATTGGAATCACTGGAATAATTTACTGGATCCAATCTGCACTTTGTCAGGCACTTGGGGATGCTCTGAGATGAAACACCCCTGCTGTTATTGGGAAGAATTAGCTAATGCTGGCTGAGAGAACACCTCTAAAAGGGCAAGAAATAAAATCAACCTGAGCTAGAAAGTCCATTTTATTCTCTTTTATTTCTTAAATGTTGGGAGAGGATTATCCTGGGCCAGAATCCCATTCCATCCCATCCCATCCCCACCTGGCATCTCTGACCATTACCCAAATCCAGCGGTCAAAGCAAGCATGAGGAACTCACAGAGCCCTTCCCACCCCCTGTGGCACAGAATATATTAATTTTTCCCCCCCTTAAGCTATTCTGCAGCCCAGGAGTCAGATAAAATACTAAAATGCCTCTGGAGTTTATGAGTAACCCCACTCTGAGCTGTGCTGAGCAATTGGAGCTGGCAAGGAAAAAAATCTCCAACCTTTGACTCACTGACATGAAAGGGAGGAAGAGAAACTTTCATGACAATTCTTTGAGACTGTGCCACCCTGATGGAATAAGCAGCACAGCCTCCTGCACCTGCAGGAATGCAGCCTGCCTTTCAGGGCAGGGTAAAAATCCCTCTCTGCTTCAGGGGAAGGCAAAAAGGGGCTTGGGATCAAGGCCAGAGCTTCCTCTGCACTAATCCTGGGCACTTTTTGGGGTGGATGTTCAGTGAGGATAAAGGGAATTCATTACAAATCACAAAAGAACCTGTGGAGAGCAGTTTCTTTAATTTCTTGGCCCTTCCAATTTCTTAGAAGGGCCAAGAAATTAAAATATGAAGCTCTGCTTAGCTGCAGCTTAGGAAGGCCCACCTGCACCTCTGGTTCTTTTCTATTATTAATGTTTTTACTGCTTGAAGACATTGAAAATAAAGCCCCCCACTACAATTATTCTTTCACACAGCCCCCAGTAACAGACATATTAACATCTGTAAAAATGTCCATGGTTTATTTGTCACGAAAAGTGCATTGCTGTGACATCTCACCTTGTGAAGGTGTCACAGCCCCTCTGGAGGCCTCACCCACCAGGTTTTGGGCAGAGCTGAGCTCAGTTTTGAGGAGCCACGCCACCCCCTGAGCCCTGGCACAGCCAGCTGAGATCCCTGTGCCCCTGGGAGGAGGGACAGGGAGGCTGGGATGGGATTTGGATGCCTGAGAACCTCGGCATCAGTCAGACAAGACACCCAAATTGGCAAGAAAAGAGTCCTGGAGATGCTGCCCCAGCTCCATTCACACAAATCCCCCCCTCTGCCACCCCCTCCAGGCCACCAAACAGAGGGATGGCACTCCCTGGCCACCATCACCAAGTCCCTGTCACCACCCTCCTCATATTTAGAAATAAATATGGATTTATTTCTAGGGTGAGCATTTGCAGTCACCCACAACCCTGATATCAAAAAGCCCCCCCAGTGAGACAGACTGGGGGTAAATTATTGTCCAGACCCACCCTGCAGGAGAAAATGCCAGGAGAATTCCATCAGCAGGAAACACTTTTCCTTCCATCCCCCAAGAACTGATCACATTTACAGCTTTCCTGGAGTTTGGACTTGCTTGCATTACAACACTGAATCACTTCCTATTTTTTGGCAGCCCCACCTGAGAGTGTTCATAGGCAGAACCCCCCTCAGGAATCCACCCCAAATCCATGGGAATGGACTCATTCCCCTCCTGGATTTCCTTTCTGAGCCCCTGGTCCATGAAATTCCTGCTGTTCCTCCTCCTGGATGTCCTTTCTGAGCCCCTGGTCCATGAAATTCCTGCTGTTCCTCCCTTTCACCATCTCCCTGTGCTGGGTCCTACCTTTGGTGGGATGTGCTCTGTGTGGCCTGGATCCAGAAAAATTCCATCCCAGGTGACACCCAGGAGCTCAGCCCTGTGCACAACATTCCTGCTCCTGATCTACCTGAGACACATTTACTGCGACTGCATCCACCAAATCTGCTCTGGCTGTGCTGAAACACAGAAACAAACCAACAAAAACGGGGTGAGAAATGCAGAGTTCAGCTCTGAGCTGAGCCCTCAGCCTTTGGTGTGCTTCCCTTTCCCTGTAAAACGAGGATATTGATATTTCCCAACTGATAAAATGAGGTTTTGGGAGGGTTGTGCTTCACCTGGGAGGCGCCAAGTTCTGTGTGAAGTGATTTTTGCCAGCCTAGGACAGGGATCAGCTTTTTCCATTGTTCTCCTGATGGATCCACCACATGGAAAAATGCCTGGTGCAATGATGGCTCAGGAATAGTGATGCAGGTGGTTTTATTTAAAGCAATAACATCAAAGCAAAACCTCTGCTGATTCAGCTCATAAAAATCATTGATGCATAAAATCCAACAATAATTGTCAAGAAAGAAAAGGGGAAGGGAGGATTGGGAGAACAGAGGAAGAAAAGGCAACCCAACCCCATAAATGCACACAAGACAGTTTAACTCTTTCATGAAGCATTTGCACCCTTGTGTGGGGGGGAAAAAAAAAAAGTGGATGTGGAAAAAAATCTGTGGGAACTGGAGGGAGATGGAATTAAGAAAAGCCATCTCTTTTCCATGTTATCTCTCTTGGATGGAAGCTTCTGGTCCAGCCAGCAGCTTGAGAATGTCTTCATTTACAATATTCCTTCCTGAAATCTGAAAGCAAATGGAAACAGGGGGTCAGCACCTGGAGAGAGACTTCAAACCATTCAAAGAAGCACAAAAATATGGATTTATTTCTAGGGTGAGCATTTGCAGTCACCCACAACCCTGATATCAAAAAGCCCCCCCAGTGAGACAGACTGGGGGTAAATTATTGTCCAGACCCACCCTGCAGGAGAAAATGCCAGGAGAATTCCATCAGGGACAGCTCCTGGGCTCTCCATCCCCTGCTTGGTGTCATTTCAGCCCATTTTTTAAATCTTCATTCCCCTGGAATGAGTCATGGGATCTCAGAGCTGATCACAAGCCCTGCCTGACACAAGTGCTGTCCTACAAACACAGGCACAACCCTGGGGATGAATCCTGGATCAGCAAGAGGAGATCCAGCCCCCAGGGAGGGAGAGCTCTTTGCTTTTCTTGGATGAAGTAACTGCCCATTACCCAGAAATTAATTCCACTCCAAACACTCTCCTTCTGCACTGTGTTTTCTGCCCAAACACCACGCCAGGACATTTTTGGGCTGCATCTCCCTCCCTCTGAGGTCACAGCAGAGCAGGCACAGTTCCAGCCCTGCCAAGCTTTCTTTTTCCAATCAAGAAAAAGTCCAATTTGTGCCATGCCCAAAGCTTTTAAAAGCCTAATCACTGCTTGCATCTCGTGGCTCCGTGATGAAAGGATGGGAAGGCAGCTGGCTTCTCATTCCTGCTTCTGCCATGAGGTTTCTCATTCCTCTTTGGCTCTGGCTTGGTCACTCACTGATGGACTGTTCCCACCAGAAGCTCCCTGCAGCCACCAATTAAGGGGAAGAAAGTCATGATTACCTTTGTCTAAATCAATGTTCTTTGCTGGGAAGCTCCTGGCTTGCTCAGCCTTCTCCTTCAGGATGTTGTTTTTGTAATCTGTGCAAGGGAGGAGCAGGATTCACACAGGAATTAGGATATGAAAAGAAAACAGGAGTTTGATGAGCAGGACAGAGGTGATCAGCCCTTCCTTGCTGTGCTCTAGGACTGGCATCTCTGATTTCTAGGAATTATTTGTGGAGTTACTCAGCAGGAAAACAGCTCTGACTTCATTTTAGCCTCTGGCATTAATCTGTTGTGCAAACTTCAGCTCCCTGCTCCTCACAGGCAGCACAGATCCTTCCAGCTCTGGATTATCTCCTCAAAGCTCACCTGGAGGTGACTGATGCAATTATCCAGAGATTTTGCTCTCCTGGGACACACAGAGAAGGATTTTTGCAACCCAGCCTCTGCAATCCAATGGTTTTTTGTTTTTTGGGGGGTTTTTTTGTCTTTTTTTTTTTTTTTTAAATTCTTGGGACCTAAGGTTTGTCAGCTTTTTCTTTTAAAGGTTGTACCTTTACTGGAGATGCAAATAAAAAACCAAAGGGACAATTATCTCCTGGTTTATCCAGCAAGTTGCAGAACTTGGCATCATGAAAAGGCTTCAGGAACCTCAGGGTGGTGCAGACAAGAGCAGCAGTTTTTTGGAATGGATTCACTCCAAATCCCAGCAAGAACCAAGCCCTGATCAATTATTGACACAATAAACTCAAGGCTGCACCTTCAAACCCCAGCAAGGAGCAGCATCTACCTTCAGGAATGCTGGAAATTCCCCAAATCTGTCCTATAAATCCCAAAAAAAACCACTTTCACAGTGTGAGATGAGCTTCCTTCCCCTCTTCCCTTTCATTTTACCATGATTTCCAGGGGGATTTGTATTTTCTCTTTTCTATCTCAGATTTTCTTCCTCTCACTCTCTGTTCATCTGCCCTAATTGCTAGCACAGAAGGCCCAAATGCTCACTGAATTATTTGACATCCAGGGAGGAGAAAATCAGAAAGTTAAACCAAAGTGGCTTCAACAGAAGGTGGAGACAATGAACTCAACAAACTCAGGACTTCTCCTTACCCAATTTTGATCAAATAAAGTCCATACCCACTTCCAGAGGTTAAAAAATGGGTTAAGTCACTCCCAAATATCCAAGTGCCATTAGAAATTTCAGATTTACAAGGATTCTGAGCTGGTTTGGTGGCCAGGGATACCTACCCAGCCTGATGTCTTCACTTTTCTGTGGGGTCAGATCTGTTGTGTCCACTGTAAATTCTTTAAGATTCACATCCTTCCTGAAAAGGGAATAATGGTGGGAAATGGTATTGTCCCATCTTTTAATAACTGGCTCCTTTCACACTTTTTCCCATTAGCTTTTCTAATTCTTTATAGAATTTATTTAATTTTTAATTTTTTCCCCCACCCGTTTGTCCTGATCTTAGAACAATGGGCAGCCAATCCTGGAATTTCCTTCTCTTTTCCACTTTAATCCTATAAAATAAGGCCTGGAGGAGCCCAGCTCCATGATCCTGGCCCCATCTCACAGCAGATCTGTGCATTATTCCCTTCCCACCAGCTCCCAAGGACATCTCACAGAAACTCCATCCCTCAGTCAGCTCCCAAAGGGTAACAAGAAGAAGCTCAATTGCCAAATCAGCCCCACAAACCATTTTCTCCTTCCACTTCCTCCTCCTAACCAGATTTTCAGCTGGTTTAGGCTCTTAGCAGAGGAGGAAATTAAAATTATTTCATTTAAATGCATTCTAAACCTAATTAATAATATTAATTACATTACAATTGATTATACTTACTCTCCATATTTCTTCACGTTGTATTCATAACCTAACCAGGAGGAAAAAGCAGAATGAGCAGTCAGCCTGCACTTGATGACCCTGGAGGTCTTTTCCAACCCCAACAATTCCACAAAATCAAGGCCTGGACATTTTTACACCACACCAGCCCTGCAAATCCTGGACACCTGAGCTCCCCAGGGACAAATCCCACCTGTGAGGGGCTTTTCTTCTCCCTTCTACAGAGAAAATCTGGAGTGGGGTTCAGCCAAAGCCTGGAGGTGGTGACCTTGGAGGTCTTTTCCAACCCAAATAACTCCATGAAATCAAGGCCTGGACATTTTTACACCACACCAGCCCTGCAAATCCTGGACACCTGAGCTCCCCAGGGACAAATCCCACCTGTGAGGGGCTTTTCTTCTCCCTTCTACAGAGAAAATCTGGAGTGGGATTCAGCCAAAGCCTGGAGGTGGTGACCTTGGAGGTCTTTTCCAACCCAAATAACTCCATGAAATCAAGGCCTGGACATTTTTGTATCACACCAGCCCTGCAAATCCTGGACACCTGAGCTCCCCAGGGACAAATCCCACCTGTGAAGGGCTTTCCTTCTCCCTTCTATGGAGAAAATCAGGAGTGGGGTTCAGCCAAAGCCTGGAGGTGATGACCCTGGGGGTCTTTTCCAACCCCAACAACTCCACAAAATCAAGGTCTGGACATTTTTATACCACACCAGCCCAGCAAATCCAGGACACCTGAGCTCCCAAGGGATAAATTCTGCCTAAGAAAGGCTTTTCTTCTGCTTTCTAAGGAGGAAATCAGCAAATCTGGAGTGGGATTCAACCAAAGCCTGGAGGTGATGACCCTGGGGGTCTTTTCCAACCCCAGCAACTCCAAAAAATTCAACCAAAACCTGGAGGTGATGACCCTGGGGGTCTTTTCCAACCCCAACAACTCCACAAAATCAAGGTCTGGACATTTTTACACCACACCAGCCCTGCAAATCCTCCCCCTGGGCAGGTTCCTGGTTTTCCAGGAGGGGATCCCTGCCTGCAGCACTGCTCCTGGCAGGAATGATTGCAGGCCAGGTCAGGATTTCCCTGGACTCACCTCTCTGGCGGCGCCTGCGGGTGACGAGCACCACGATGATGAGGAGGACGAGGAAGAGCAGCAGAGTGGCCAGGATGTAGCCCAGCTGCTGGAAGAAGTGCATCCTGCTCTCAGGGATGATGACATTGATGACATTGTGGCCCCTGACCACGTTTGGATCTGAGGGAAGGAGAACAGGAGGCATCACTGGAAGTGGGATCAGAGGAGGGAACGCTCAGGGAGAAATTCTGAATGGCAAGAATTAATCAGTGCCTGATTTCTCATAATTCCCAGGGTTTAACAGGATCCCTTCTCTAGGATCAGTGATCCCTGGCCTTCAGAGTGTTCTTGCAGGGGGGAATTTCAGAGCAAAGCCAGTCCCAAACCTTCCAGAGGGTCCCAAAACCTTCCTCTGGGTCCCTTTCAACACAAACTCCACCCTGCTCTGGCTCCAGACAGCAGCCCCTCCTTGCCAAGGGTTATAATTTATGGAGTGGGAAGAGTTTTCAGAGCCAAAAAATGAGCTTCCTTTGAAATGAAATAAAATAAATAAAATAAATAAACCCCCCCAAAAGCAGAGGAAAGCCAAGATTCCAAGGGTGCAGCAGGATTTCTGTCCCACAGAACAGGGAAGGGGAGCTCAAAGCTTTTACGTGGAACTTTTTTCTTTTTTTTTTTTTTTTTGGTAGATCTCAAATAAATAGGTCAATGTTTTACACATGTAAAGAGGAAGTGACTTCTCTGCTTGCAACAGTCAGAGGAATGGATAAAGCCAGCCCAGGCATGGATGGAATCCCACAGGACTCTGCTGGGAGAGGGGTTTTTCCTTCAAAACAGAAAAAAACCCCTCCACCTTCACCCCTTACAGGGAATTTTCACAGAGCACCTGGCAAGATCAGGATAGAGCCCTCACCTCCCATTCCCCTGGGAGTTCCCCCTGCTAATTATCCAGAGGGAATAAGGGGAAAAGTGGGGAAATAAGATCTCAAAAATACCTCAAAAGCCACAGCACCCTTTAGCAGATGTGTCCTGACACTTCTGGCAGTGCTGGCACTGGGACTGCTTCCAGTTTTTTGGGCAGTTTGTTTCCAGCAGTTAAAAATACCAACCCAGCAAAAATCAAATTAAATCAGGCAAGAGTGGGTTGAAATAAACACTCTGAAACCAGAGCTGGTTGTTTGCTAATGCCAACAGCAGTCCTAGAAAATCAAAAAGCTTGAGCAACGTGCTCTGTTCTGGTGGCCCAGTGCTCCACTCCAGCAGCACTCTGCTTTTACTGGGATTTCCAGTTCTCCCTGGATACAGAGCTGGAAAAACTATGGGATTTCCACCCTGCCAAGCTGGAAAGTATCAATTCAAACCAAGAAAGCCACTTGCAAAGCTGCAAACATGTGACAGCTCTGCTGTGTCCCATCCCTGGCTCCTTGCTGCCATAATGAGATGGTGCCACAGCAAACAGAGCAATTTCTATTCCTGGCTTTTTGCTTTCCCCCAGAACTGGGTAAGGGCTGGGTTTAAACTTCAGGCAACACTGAGGAGGTCACAACACGGAGTGGAAACAGAGGTTTAATAGCTTTGGGCAATGGGATGTACCCCGTTTGATAACTGGGGAAACTGAGGCACAGCTCAGTCCCACTGTCAGTGCCCAGGGCAGGACCACGAGGTCACACAGACTCCTCCTCACCCTACACCAGAACTGAAGCTGGGGTGGTGAAGGTTTATTCTGTAACCAAGATCTGATCTCACATCCACCCTGCCCCAAATTCACTCCCAGGACATTTTAACCACTGAAAAAATAAATCCCAGTGGTGAAGGGGAAACCTTAAATTTAAGAAGTGCCTCAACATGATCTTCCCAAAGCATCAAAGACCAAACTGTTCTGCTGGAAAAGGTGGAGAGCTCCCCACAAGGTTTGCCAATATTTTAGCACTCATCATGAGGCACAACAGATTCCTCAGGCACCTGCTGCAGAGCAAACCCTGAGTAAAAATACTCTTTTAGTAAATATCCACCACATTTGCACTGCTGAGCCTGAGAGCAGCACTGAGCCCCTGCCTCTGCTCCAAACAGGATGAACTTTCCTTCTGGGAATGGAGCTTGGAGCAAGGCCAGGAGCTGAGGCTGCTGCCTGATCAAAGCTCCTGGGTTTGCTTTTGGTGTCTCCCCGTTGCTGTTGTGCTCCCCAGAAGAATTCCAGGCAGTTTTTTTGTGGAATGGGGCAATCAGCCTCCCCTGGCAGGGCTGGAGAAGGAAACCTCTGGATGTCTCCACTGCTCACACATTCCCATGGACTCAGCACATTTTTGGGAGTGCTGAGGGGTCCCAAAGCTGCTGGTTTGGACAGAGGAAGTGGCTCCTGCCAGGAAGGGAAATTCCTCCAGCACAGCCAGGTTAAATCACCCAGAGATTCCACCTCCCTTCTGAGCAGGTGGGAAATACTCAGGACAGTGTCCTCAATAAATTTGTAGGTGAACTACTCTGGAAACAAGATCTGGGTTCCTTCTGTGGATAAGGATCAAGGGCTGTGTGCAGGAACTCTGATATTTGGATGTCCTGGTCTCCAGCCACCTCTCTCAGCACTGCCTGGATTTTCTGGACACCAACCTTAGCCCCAGGGAAAAAGTTTAGGTCTCTATGACTTGAGAAAGCCAATTTCTTACAGGAGAATAAACCTATTTAAAAATGTATGAAGCAAATCAAAATTCTGTATTAAACAGCCAATAAATATTAAAACACAATGAATATTTTAAAGTGTTAATAAAGAACTATACCCAAAAGACTTTAAAAAAAAATTAAACTTGGGATTTTTGCTTTTCTTTTTCTGCCTGAACGAAGTGTGATGGTTTTGAGTTTGGACAGGCTGACAGATGATAGCTCAGTGCAGTGGAAAATATGAAAATTGGTTTATGGCACACACACACACACAAAAAAATAAAAAAAAAAAGCTGAAGGGTGGAGGAAAATTCCTGGTGGTTGATTCTGCATGGTCTGGCACCTTGCACAGCCTAAACATCCGTGCAAAGGGGAGAGAAACTCTGGTGGGAAGAGCTGTGACAGCAAAGGCAGGGCTGCATCACCCCCCTGCTCACACCTCCATAAAGGCACGGAGGAAAGAGAGCCAAAAAAAAGGGAGAGGGAGCTGCACAAAAACACAAACCAAACCCAGCTTGTTTGCCTGGGGCCTGCCAGCAGTGCAGAACTGCCCTGGGGCAGTAAGTAAAGGTGATAGGTCAGAAAAGCAAAATAAATCCTGGGCCAACGTTGGGTTAGAAAGCTCTATATTGCCTTGTCATGAAGAACCTGTGACTCTCTTGAGCTGTGGCTGACTGCTTGCCCTTGTAAATCTCAGGGCCTCTGATGTTTATCTGAGCAATAAATCATTCTTGGTATGATTCCAATCGTTCTTGGTATGGTCCCATTGTGTTGGAACCCTGGCTGTTGAGAAATTCAGACTTTCTGTACAGACAGACTCTGACCCCCTGGAGAACACTGCATTTGACCTGAGGCTGTGGAGAAGGCTTCCAAAATGGAATGATAGAATTGGGATTATGGGTGTGGAGTTGGTTAGAAGTGTGTAATGTCACAGGGTGGAAAACTGAGAGTTTGGGGTTTTAGAATATAGAAATAAACATGAAGCAAGATGGAGGTGCTAGGGCAGAGGCAGGTTGTTCTTCTTTACCTTCTTCTTCCTTCTTCTCCATGGTTTTGTGTAATTGGACAGAAAAGTCCACATTGTGGACTTCAAGTGATCAGTTATTGGGTTAAAAGTGAAAATAATTTAGGTGCAATTTCCTAATTGGATAGTTTAGCCTTAAAAGATTTTGTACCAAGAGATAGTTGGCTATTTTGTGCCTTCTTGGTGAAAAACTGCAGAACTCACTGCTGTGAGGCTGTAACATTGATAAGAAACAATAAACACCTGAGTCTGAACACAACCCATCGTCTCAAGTGCCTTCAATCCCAGCCTCGACAGAGGCAGAAAAAGCAAATTGAGAACCCAGAGCACTCCTTTAAATGAATGTGATGCCTGCAACGGTGCCCACTCTAGCAGGCACAGGGCCTGCAAGGCCTCCCTGGCGGTCAGCTGGATAGGAAACGCCCAGCCATGATGACAGCACCAAAGAAGCCTCTCTTCCACCTTCAGACCCTCGTTATCTCTCTGTAAGACCACAGGTCATATTCACCTCGACCCCTACCATTGGACAACTTCCAAAACTCCTAAATCTGATATAAACACCCTCAAAACTGCAGAACTCACTGCTGTGAGGCTGTAACATTGATAAGAAACAATAAACACCTGAGTCTGAACACAACCCATCGTCTCAAGTGCCTTCAATCCCAGCCTCGACAGAGGCAGAAAAAGCAAATTGAGAACCCAGAGCACTCCTTTAAATGAATGTGATGCCTGCAACAGTGCCCAGGGCAGGGCCTGCAAGGCCTCCCTGGTGGTCAGCTGGATAGGAAACGCCCAGCCATGATGACAGCACCAAAGAAGCCTCTCTTCCACCTTCAGACCCTCATTATCTCTCTGTAAGACCACAGGTCATATTCACCTCGACCCCTACCATTGGACAACTTCCAAAACTCCTAAATCTGATATAAACACCCTCCTCTGCCCAGCTCAGCAGAAGAGCTGCCAGTGAGACCCCTTGCAGAAGATACCAATAAAGACCTCTCTGAGGAACCTCAATAAAGGCATCTCTGAGGAACCTCAATAAAGACATATCTGTGGAACCTCAATAAAGACATCTCTGAGGAACGTCAATAAAGACATCTCTCTGGAACCTCAATAAAGACAAAGACATCTCCTCTCTCTCCCTGTGTCTGCCAAAGGCACTCAGCAAACAAAGAGCTGAAATCACTAAAGAGCTGAAATCACTAAAGAGCTGTCACAACCCAGGACATCCCTCTGGGTACCCTGGATGGCTCGAGCCCCTGGCAGGAAGCCAAAGACACTTGGGATTTCAATCTTAACCCATGGAGCAAATTACCAAGTTTGTATGAAGAATTAAAACTCACAAAAGTTTAAGTAGTATAACAGTAGTTGTCACAGGGTGAAAAGTAGAATTTTGGGATTTTTAGAAGGGGGGTTTGGAGTCCCAAGATGGAGGAATTTGAGCGTTCCCTGTCCTTCTTCTTTCCCCTTCCTAACCTCCATGTTCTGGGTGATGCTGGCACTTTTGGATTGGTTTAGAGTAGAAGTAGACAATCTATTGGTATTGGAAAATAATGGTTAATAAAGTACACAGTACTTTAAATAAATAAAAAATAAATAAAACAGTAGTTTTTAGTATAAAGAGATAGCAACACCTCAGGGCAGGGCAGTGTGCCCTTGACAGATCTGCTGAACAGACCTCTGTGGGTCTGGAAAAGAATGTTTTAGATAAAAAAAAATAAACAACCTTGAGAACCAGAGCCGAAGAATTCTGACTCTTTCTTTGACCATCGGGCTGGGAAAAAAGAACTCTCGGGGTGTATTGACTACAGGAAATCTGAGAAAGAGCTGAAATCCCCCAGGAGCTGAAATCACTCAAGGGAGCTGAAATCACTCAAGACAGATGAAATCACCAAAGAGCTGAAATCACCAAAGAGAGCTGAAATCACTAAAGAGAGCTGAAATCACAAAAGAGAGCTGAAATCACCAAAGAGAGCTGAAATCATCCAAGACAGCTGAAATCACCAAAGAGAGCTGAAATCACTAAAGAGAGCTGAAATCACTAGAGAGCTGAAATCACCCAAGACAGCTGAAATCACTCAAGAGAGCTGAAATCTCTCATGAGAGCTGAAATCACCAAAGAGCTGAAATCACTCAAGAGAGCTGACATCACTCAAGAGAGCCAAAATCACCCAAGAGCTGAGCTTGCTAAGACTGCCTGCAGCCCTGAAGCCTGCCTGAGGGGCCCAGACAGGTTGTGCTTAACTGAACTTCTCTGTCTGGGACACCCAAAAACCCCAGAGCCGCACCACAGTCCATCTCTACAAGGCCACTCACCCGCAGCAGGGACCACGGCGTGCGTGGTGATGTTCACCACCTTCCTCTCCCTCTCTGGCTCCGTGACGGCCACGTGGTAGATCCTGCGCTCGTGCAGCCCGCAGTAGTGGTGGTGCAGGTGGCACGAGTAGGTGCCCTCGTCGGCGCTCTCCAGGCGGGAGATGCGCAGCGAGAAGTCTCCGAGGGCGAAGGCGCCGCGGGTGACGTTCATCTTCTGCCGCAGGAACTGGGGCCCGTAGGAGCGGCGCTCGCCGGACGCGTACAGATCCACCAGGCGGTCGGCACGGTCCTGGGGCACCCCCGGGGGCTGCCGGTCCCAGTGCACCACCTGCTGCTCCTCCTCGCTGTGCCGCTCCGTCCAGATGTGCTGGCGGTTGACGCACGGCAGCGTCACCGTGCTGCCCTCCGGGGCCACCAGCACCGGCTTCTCGCCGTCCCAGTACTCGCTGGCCTCCTCGCCTGGTGGGGAACACAACTTTGGAATGGGTTTGCTCCATTAGTTTTGTCCCACCCGTTCCTGGTTTTCCAACATGATTGATTTAAGTTTCCGTCCTGTGATGCTTTGTGTAGGCTGAGCTGGAACAGAGGCTGGGCAGAATTAAAGAATTTTATCAGCTCAGCATCAGCAGTGCACATCAAGGGCTGGGCATTAGGACAAAGAAGCAGCTTGGGATTAGGAGGAGAAATCTGGGAGATGGGGAGAGGAAAACACAGGTTTCCTTTCCTTGGCCAAAACCAGCAAAATTTTAGGCCAATTTGCTGTCACACGCCGCGATCTCATGGGCACGGTCAATGTGAAATTCCCACTCCACATCAAGTGTCAAGGACAGCCAGAGACACCTGAGATTGCTCCCACACCCTGGAACCCTGAATTCCAAGTTTCAAGGACACCCAGAGACACCTGAGACTGCTCTCTCTCTAATACTCCACGAGATTGGAATCCTATAACATTCCCTCCCAAAATCTTAAAAGTGCCACGTGGCACAGCCTGAACATGCATGAACATGAACAAGCCTGGCTTTTTCACATTTATTTCAGCAGTTATTAAAAAAACCCCACCTTTATCCTCTAACATCCTTGGCCATTTCATGAAGCAAGGCCACTTTCTCCTCCTTCTAACTCAGAGTTAATCTCCTGCTTCAGAGTGCAGGAAGCAAATTCCCTCCACAGGCTAAGAATGGAACGAGGACCTTCATCCCAATCCTCTGAGCAGGAAATGCTTTCCTACCCACAAAGGCCCTAATTACTGGAGGAGCTGAAGCAGCACTGCTCTGTGTTTGGCTCTTGAAAAGGAATAACAGAAGCAGCCAGAGCACAGAGGAGCTGACTGGGGCTCTCAGGATGTTTTTATTGCACTGTGAGAGCAGCAGAGGAGATGCACTTCAACCCCAGCAGCTCCACTGGTGTTATGCAGAGGTTTAAATGGATTTTTAATGGGTGCCTGTGTGGATGGGTGGGACTCCCTGCAGCTGCCAACAGCTGGAGTTTAGAGCTGGGCTTAAGGTGTGGTGGGTTTTTAAGTACAGGCTGCCCAGGGCAAGCTCAGCAGCCAGAGCACAGGCAGGTCCTTGTGGCTGAGCTGAGCTGAGGGTGTGGATTGTCACCAGGGAGGGATTGTCACCAGGGGGGGACTGTCACCAGGGGTGTGCTGCTGCTGCAGCAGGGGCAGTTTGGTAACGACCAAGAGCAAACACTGAGCTGAGGTTCTGGCCAAGGAAGATGAGAGGTTTGTAAACAAACCCTCTGAAAGTCAGGGAAGCAGGCAGCAAACAGCACAGAGAGCACCAGGCTCTGCTGGTGCTTCCCAAGCCTCCTGTGGCAGCTGCAGAACCTGGGGCTGTCCCCACACCCACCTCTCTTGGCGATGACCAGCTGGATTTTCACCGTTTCGTACAAGTGGCAGTAGTGATGGTGAAGATTACAGGAATATGTGCCTGCATCACTCTCTGCAACACCTGTAGAGCAGGGAAGAGAGAGGAATACAGTGATTTGTACTGAGACAATATTATTTGTGGCATTTGCATTTTCCCAAATCCTTGTCTGGATATAAACAACTTCATTCTAAGCCATCCTTATCACCAGGGTGGGTTAAGCAGAGACAAATCCTCTCACCCAATATAAAGATTTGGTCACCTAATGAAATAATTGTTCAGTTGATTTGCTCTTGTGTGCAGAAATTTGTGTATTTCTTGTGAGTAGAAATGTGTGTATTTCTGTTAACAGGTGGAAAGAGGAAGCTGGTTTAGGTTTAGCTGAGAGCAGGGAACAATGGCCATGGAGTGTTTACAGTTCAGGAACTGAATCACAACAAAAGGGCCACAAAAAGCCCAGGTGGCTTTCAAGTTGTTGCAAATTCTCATTCAAAACAGGTCGGTTTCAAAGGTAAATAAAACACTCAGTGCTTCAGAGACCCTCACAGAATCACTGAGGCTGGAAAAGAGCTCCAAGATTGAGTCCAGCCTCAATCCCCACCTTGTCCCCAGCCCAGAGCACTGAGTGCCATGTCCAGTCCTTCCTTGGTCACCTCCAGGGGTGAGGACTCCACCACCTCCCTGAGCAGCAATTCCCACTTTTAACAACCCTTTCCAGGGGAAAAAATCCTCCTTTATCCAGCCTGAATCTCCCCTAGGGCAGCTGGAAGCTTCACTTTGAAGCAAAACCAGAGAGCTGCCCAGGAGCAGTGCATGAGTTTGGGGAAAATTCCTCAACTTCTTCCTGCCTTGAGTCTCCAGCTGGAAGCTCCACTTCCCTAGGTGCCCAAGGAGAAAAAATTAATTAATGCAACAGTCCAGGTATGCAGGTATTTGGTGAGAGGGAATGCTGAGAGGGTTTTGATCTGCTGAACGTGCTGAGCTGGGCAGGTTTTCTGGGATAGACTTGGAGGTGCACAAGTAACCACGGTGGGCACTGAGTGCCAGCAGTGCACTCAGATTGCTCCCAGACCCTGGAATCCTGAATTCCAAGTGTCAAGGATAGCCAGGCACACCTAAAATTGCTCCCAGAGCAGGGATGGGGTCTCCCCCATCTCCCTGGGCAGTTCCAAACCCTAAAATTCCTCCTGAGAATTAGACTTATTAACCTAGCATTCACAGAATGACCAGGTTGGATGAGACCTTAGAGATCATCAAGTCCAACCCATACCCTAACACCTCAACTAAACCACAAATCCATTTATCAAAAACCATGCTGTGCACCACCCATTTCCACCAAAACCCAGGAGGAAAAAACCCTCCACACCTTTGATCACCAGCGAGAAATTCCCATCTGCAAAGGCATTCTCGGGCATGAGGATCCTGCCCTGGTTGTAGGAGCTGTAGACACGTTGGTCCCCAGCTGAGTACATGTCACAGAGCCTCTCCATCCTGCTGTCCCCATAGTAGGAGCTGAGCAGGTCCCAGTGCACCACGCGCTGCCGGTCGTTCAGGCGGTCCTGGGTCCACACCATGCGGTGGCTCTTGCAGGGCAGCACGGCCTGGGAGCCCAGAACTGCACTGATGTTCAGCACAGACACCACCACGCTGGCTGGGTTGGAGGCATCAGCTGGGACTGGAAAAAACAGGAGCAAACAGCAAAATAATGAGCTGTAGGGTTATGGAGTTAATGGTGTGGGAAGGAGATGGAGTGGGAGTCAGGCTTTTGATTCTGGTTTCAAGAGCAACACAGGGCATTGTCATGGAGAATCCTGAGCTGGAAGGGACCCAGGAATCACTGATCCAACCTTATCCCTGCACAGGCACCCCAACAACCCCACCCTGTGCATCCCTGAGAGGGATCCAAACCCTCCTGGAGCTCTTGGGGCTGGGACCATTCCCTGGGGAGCCTGGTCAGTGCTCCACGCAGGGGGAAGGGTCTTTTCCTAATAAATAAAACTTTAACACACAGATTTCATTCGTGTCTGTAATCAGCACTGCACACTTGAGCTGTCCCACCCACCCTTCCTAATCCTGAGCCCCAGTTTAATCCAGGCTTAGAGACACCAGTGCATGGGATGCACAATCCATGGAAGTCAGCAATGAAAGCCCCTGTGCATGCCATGGACTCAGGGCCCTCTCACTCTTCTCAAGATCACAAAATCTGGCAGATTTACAGAGATGCCACTCACCTGAATATGAGCACACAGAACCTGTCAAAGCAGAAAATAAAGAGTGTTACTGACAACAAAAGGATAAAAAAGCTACAAATACACTCCAAGTCAGCAGCCACCTCTGGTGTTGCTCCATCTATTCCCCTTCCCTGTTAATGCTGATGTTTATATCTGGATGTTTGTATCCATTTCCCACTCCAGCCACACTCTTTGTCTGCACAGTTAATTTTGGGATGCTCTGGGTGCAGCAGCTCTCTCCAGCTCACATGACTCAGATCCACACAGGAGGAACTTTGCCAGAGATGAACCAATTCCTTTGATTCTGCATTTCTCTGGTCCAGTCCCTCCTGCTCCTTGTGTGGGAGGGGTCTGGAAGGTCTCCTGGCATCAGGCTTTTGATTCCCAACACAGATTCCCAACACAACACCACCATTCATCTCTCCACCCAGCCAAACCCATCAAAATCACAGGAGGTTTTGTCCTGCTAATGTCAGAGGCACAAAGTCCTCCAGACAAAGACACTATTTCAAAATTTTTTTAGCCCTGGAATTTATGAATTTCAAATTCAACTCCAGATTGGGGGTATTTTAGCACACCCCAAGTGCTGAGAATTAACTTGGTTTCCTCCTCTTTTTCTATCACAAAGCACTGGGCAGCAGAGAACAAAAAATGAGCAGCACTGTCTGTTGAACTGCCAGCTCAAAGGCACTTCAAATAGGAGGTATTTTTCCTTACATTTAAAATCTCAGCATCACAAAGAGAAAAATCACATCTTGGACAAGGTCTGTGCTCTCTGTATATAAGAAACAGACATCATAATTCCATCATTTGATTGTCTCTGCACAATGTGTCAGCTGCAGCCCTTGTCTCTGCAAACCAGGACTTAGATTAGGCTTAGAAAAACAAAAGAATGATTTAAAAATCTCTTCCACAGCACCAAATCAGCCAGGAAAAATCGGTGTCACTTGTGACAGGCCACCAGCTGAGGTGTCACTGTGACCTTGTGGCTGAAGGGGTGTGATTCGCCCTGGGGCCAGGGGACAATGTCGTGACATGAGCAGCGATTTGGGAGCTGGGGAATGGTGTCTGAGGCTGCTTCCAAGCCCTGCACGAAGAACAAATTGATTTGGTGGGACAGAAACATCCTCTGCTGGCTCGGGCAGAGGAATGAAGGCATTTACTGCTCTCCTTTCCTCTGGCGAGCTAATGGGAAAAACACGGAGCAGCATCGAATTTACCAAACAGATTTAGGAATGCAGCACTGCAAATCCAAGGAGTGACAAAAGCTCTGAGCTCACACCAGCACCTGCCTCTGCACCTTTTTGGAGCACTGCACCTTCCACCTGCCAGGGCACGGACCACCCTTCCCTTCCCTTCCCTTCCCTTCCCTTCCCTTCCCAGGTGACAGCTCCAGCCCTGGGCTCAGCTGGGAGCAGGGATTTTGGTGAGTCAAGTGTAAAACCAAAGAGTCTTCATGCACCTGGTGACAGCTCTGACCTCTGTCCCCACAGCCTCCAGGACCTGGAGCTTCTAAACCTCAGCTGCCCTCAGAGCTGTCAACACAGATCTCAACTGTGGCTTTCATTTTAGAATTTCAAGTTCCATGGGGTGGAGAATCACTTTGTCTTCTCTGGGTGATGTAACCACAAAAAAAAAAAACAACCAACAAAAGACAATTCTGCGCTGTCCCCTGACACATTCTGTGCTGAGTCAGCAGGATCCCAGAGATATTCTGTGGTCCCACAGTAGAGGAAGAGGAAAGCAGCCTGGAAAACGATTTCTTAATCCCTTGTAAAAGGCAGAGCCAGCTCTTACTTCTTGAATCCCATCCATTTTTCATGTGAAGAACTATTAAGCCACAAAAAAAACCCCAAAAACAAACAAACAAAAAAAGCTGTGGGCAAACTAGAAGCAAAAGGCTGGGGCTGTGAAAGATGTGTGACATGCTCAGAGCTCTCCAGGCAGTGTCCTTGGAGGGGACAGGGACAGAAAATTGTCCCCTGAGCCCGGCCTGAACAATCCTGGGCTGAACTCCCTGCCGGGACTCAGGAGCTGCTGCTCAGCTCAGTGCTGAGGGAACCTCTGAGCTCCTGTTTCATACTGGGGGATGAAAAACAACCAGAGCAGAAAAGGACATGTTCTTGCCCAAATCTGTGTGTGCCAGATTCCTCATTTCTGCCACAAATCCCTCTGTTTGTAAGAGGTTTAATGGGCTCTGTGTGGTCATTACACAATTATGGGAAAAGCAGCAGGCAGTGCCACCAGGCTGTCCCCAAACCCTCTGGGGAGTGGCAGTGGCTCCATCCTGGCTCTTCAGGGGGCTGAGAGGTCCTGATGGCTTTGGTGCAGCAGCATCGAGGTGACAGTGACATAAATGAGCCCAGGGTTTTTAAACCCACTGAGCAGCAAGCAGGAGAAACATCTGGGCTCATCTGGAAGAGGGATATGGTGAGCAAAACAGCTGAGCCTAAACTGCTCCCAGCCCAGCCTGCAAGACTCAGCTTTTCAGTAAAACTGAATTTCCCTTCAAAGCCAGGCTTTGAGCTGGGATTTTCCTCTAAATCTCTGTGTTTGTTTATTTTTTAAAGGCTTCCTGGGACAGCTTTCCCAGCAGCAGACTCTCCCACTTCCCAAAAGGATTCCAGAGCCCTTAAACAGCCATGCAGCCCCACCAATTCCTGCACTCCCTGCAGGTAGGAACATGCAGAGGGCAGGAATGTGCTGTCTCTGCAGAAAGGAAGATCTGGTGGTTGTACAAGGAGCCAATCCCCAGCTGGGGCACAGACAGGATCCCTTTGAGATCTGCCCCAGCTTTTCTGGGATTTTAGCAGAGCTTTAAAGCCTCCCCTGCCTTGTGAGCTTGGCCTTGGCTGCGGGCCCACGGAATGGTTTTGTAGAGCCATTCCAAACACGGAGCTGTTCCTCCCTGAGACATTAACACTTCAGGGAGTGGTTCTTGTGCAGGAGGGGTCACAGATTTCTCCCCCTCCCCATCCTCCCTATTGATTATAACCTGATTTGGGTGGGCTCAAACATCAGAGTGCATCCAGGTCAATCCAAAATGCACCTGGAGCTCTGTCAGAGATCATCCCTGCTCAGGTGGGACCTGTGGCTCTGCAGCAGCCCAACCTGCTATTCCTGCCCTGGGTGCTCTGCCAAACCTCACTGGAGTCACTGGACTGGTTGGTGCTTCTGGAGCACACAGCTGTGGCCTCTCCTCCTCCTCCTCCTCTTTAACCCGCCCCACACCCCAGATTTCTGAGCCACTTTGACACTTCTGTCCCTATGACTGATCCCATCACTTGCCAATTCCTCGGCTGTGCCTTGGGGCATTGCAGAAGTGCCGTGGTGACATGGAAAGTGGATTAATCAGGGACCAAAGGGAGAGCTCCTCACCTTATTCCACCTCAGTGCTGGGGAGCTGAGGGGCTCAGGTGTCAGCCACAGCCTTTTAAAAAGGCTGGGAAGAGCAGGGGGTCACCAGTCCCCAAAAAACTTCTCACTTCCTACTCCTTTCTTGCACCTTGCTACCCAAAAGTGAATTCTGGGTCTGTCTTTATGCTGAAAAGAGAAAAGAAACCCAAAACCCACACATCCTTCTTTCCCTCCATCTGAATCCTCTCTCACACACACACCCCCAAACTCTTTCTGCTTCTTCAAAAGTAAAAAAATAACCTTAAATCCTAAAAATCTGACTCTGAAAGCTTTGCTGTACTCACAGCCAAGCTTATTGGTTTTGATTTTGCTGATAAGAAAAAATAATGCACAAACATGCTGAACAGGGCTCCAACAACCTCAAACATTTTTCCATTCTCTCCCCAAAAAGCAGAGAGGAAAGCTACGACTCCCTCCCCTCCCCAGATGAAAACAGAGCAAATGTAGGAATCTGAACAAAGTCTTATAAAGATAACACTTCAAAATCTTGCAGCCAAGCCCCAGCCCCGTTGTGCAGCTGAAATAAAAATAAATAACACCACACCAGCAGATCAGAGCTTACTTTGCTGAAGCAAAATCTGCCACAGGAGGAGTTTTAAAAGTTGCTCCATTTCTTCGGCTCCTCGGAGTTTTCGCCTCTCTTGAAAAACAAGCTGAAAACTTTTTTTTTTTTTTTCCCTTTAACTTTCTTTTCTGTAACTGGAAAACACTATGACCTCATCAATTTACATCCCCAGAGCTGAGGACAGCAGCTCAGATTCTGCAGGATTACTCCACCTCTTTCCCTTCCCTTCCCTGACACTTTCTGCAGATCCCTCTCCTCCTTCCCCTCCCTCTGGCACCTTCTGAGCCCTCCCTCACTCTGACATCAAACTTGGTCCCACACAGCTCCGGGCTGACAAAACAAATCTTTCTCCCTCCCCCTAGGGATGGAACCAATTTTCCTCGTGCTTTACTTGATCCAGCTGTTCCTGCCTTTGTCTGACACTCCTCCAGACTGCATTTATTCTGCTGCCTTCAATGGAGTTTTGATCTCCTCATATGGTTTTACTTCCAGCTCCAGTCTCCAAAGACAACCTAGAAAACAATATTTACCCTGTCCTGTGATTTGTAAGCAAGGGCTGGGTATTTACAGGAAAATTATAATGGGTATAAAGTCAGGAAATAGAGTATAAAATAGGAAATAAAGTAGCTGCTGCTAGGATATTAAAAGTAAAATTATATCTTATAGGAAAATTAAAATATGGTCAATTTTTCTGTTCTCTCACATTCTGTTGTGAGGTTATTGTAGTTTATGGTTAACACCATTAAGTGGATTGGATTTCTTGGATTTTACAATTCAATCAAATGAATCATCAAGTGAAGAAAAGGAATTAAAACTGACTGTCCTTAAATGTCTGTGGGACTCCATAAGAGAACTTAAAAACACAAGTCAGGAGCCTTCCCATGGGATCCATGAGCATAAACTTAATTGTCACACTTGAATTTTTCCTTCTGACATTTTTCTGTCTCTCTACTCTACCAGAAAATCCCAGAGGCGGAAGAGTTTCAGGAAAGAGGAGAGTATTATTATTATAATTATAACAACCCCCTAAATAAACATTTAAATAATTACACACTGCAACAAGGGAAACTTTGGGAGCATCCAGATCAGAACTTCAGCCAGTCCAGGATCCTGTCTCCAGCATCAGACAGAACCAGACACTTCCAAACAAATTCCAAGAAACTGAAGCTATTATTATTATTAGATAATATGGCCATGAAAAAAAAAAAATTAAAAAAAAAAAAAAAAGCCTGCTGTTAACTCCACACTGTCCAAGACAGATCCAGAGAAGTGGTTTGTTTCTAGGGAAAAATCCTAAAATAATCTACAGATAAGAACAAAAATTTCCCAGGAAAGTCCAACTCTGACATTTCTGTGAAGTGAGGAGGTTTGGGGGTGTTGGGAACAGCCCCTCCCTCCACATTCCCACCCTCACCTCCTGCACCTGAACAAATCCAGCCCAACTCCAACCCTGATCCCATCAGCTTCTCTTTGCCAGCCTCAGCAATTCCCAAAACAATCCCAAACCACTGCAGGCAGCAAAACCTCCTGTTTCCCTGTCCCTGACCTGGGCCAGGGTCACAACAACCGCAGCACCGATCCACAGCAGCTGCTGGGCCAGGAACCTCCTGGAATCTCCTGGAATCTCATGGGAATCTAATGGAATTTCTTGGAATCTTGTGGAAACCCACGGAATCTCATGGAATACCATGGAATTTCATGGAATCTCATGGAATCACGTGGAATCTCCTGGAATCTCCTGGAATTTCCTGGAATCACATGGAATCTCATGGAATCACATGGAATCTCCTGGAATCTCGTGGAATTTCCTGGAATCGCATGGAATCTCATGGAATCACATGGAATCACATGGAATCTCCTGGAATCTCCTGGATTCACATGGAATCTCCTGGAATCTCATGGAATCTCCTGGAATCTCATGGAATCTCCTGGAATTTCATTGGATCTCCTGGAAGAAGGAGCCTTTCCTGTTGTCTCCATCAGGGATCCAGCCCAGGCTGTGCTCGGAGCAGCCTGGAAAATGCCTGCCTGGGAGGCAAAATCTGCTCCCAACAGCAAATCCAGCATTTTCTCCTTCCCCTGCTCCCTCCCAACCATGGGCAGGACCTTCCAGGCTGCAGTTCCAGGGGTTTTTTTCTCATTTTTCTGCCTCCCAGCTGTGGCACTGCAGAGGTTACTGCCTGCTCCTCGCAGGGTTTTTGGGAGGGAGCAGATTGCTGTGGTTGCTGCTGTCATGGACTGGATATTTCCTGACTGCAAGGAGCCAAGTCCAGGCTGAGCAAGGCTGAAGTCTCCTAAAATCACCCAGGGGAAGAGCAGCAGCTTCTGTGGGGTTCACAGAGGGGATGAAAGGGACACGTTTAGGGGGTTGTTATAATTATTTTTTATATATTTATATATATATATATCTGCCTTGTTGCCTCTCTAATCCTGCACAGTCTGCAGCCAGCCCTGCTTCCTGGGGCTTTGCTACTCCAAAGACATCCTGGAAGAGCAGCTGTGTCAACATTTTTCCTGGTCTAGGAGCTGAATTTTTAACCAGTTTGAGCTGAGCTGTGCTCCCCAGCTTTTCTCCTTCCCCACTCCCAGGGGAATTGGGGTTGATTCTCCCAAGAGCGAGCATCCCTTGGCTGCCCACTGCTGACCACAAATCCTGACCAGAGAAAGCGATTTCATGCAGGCAAGGGAAAGGGACTTTCCAGCAGCAGCAGGAGTGGTTTTGCAGGCTCTGCACCTGCCAGCAGATCAGGTCAGCAGCACAAGAAAGGCTCCCGTGCTCCCAGAGTCGCCTCTTTTTCATTGTGGCAAAAGAAAATCGGTATTTCACACCTAGTTCAGATCTAAAGCAGCGACTCAGGTGGACAAAGCCCTGCTGGAAGCGCAGGGTCACGAGGGTAATTGGCTGCTGGGAAGTGTTGGATGTCAGGAAGTTTCCTCCTCCCCATCTCTTCCATTTTTACCTTTTTTTGTTTTCAGGCTGCACTGAGAGACTTCCCAATAAATCCAGATTGAAGACCAGCAGCCAGAAAAACTGAGCAAGTGTCAGGTCAAGAAAAAAGGTGTGATGCCAAGGGGAACTCTCCATCCTTTAGTGCAATTTTTGAGAGGCACTAACCCTGGCAAGCAGGAGTGGAAGTGGCCCCTTCCACCCCATCCTCACAGCCATGAATACATGAATTAAAAAGGAATGCCAGCATTAATGATCTCTTGACACAAATTACAGTACAAGGCCTTGTGTGCAGGGTTTGTCAGCACTCCAGGCTTATCATCAACAACTTCTTTAAATACAGGATGCAGAGTGTTCCACCAGGATCAAAGGAGAAAATACCTGCTCATGGGAAGAAGAAAGGATAAAATTCCTGGGACAGAAAAGTAGTAGGGAATGCTGCAGTTTAGGAATAAAGAGTACAAGAGTACAGCTAATTGGCAGTGGCAAAAGCAGCGAGGAAAAATAAAATAAAATTCAAAATAAAATATGAAAAAAGAGAACTTTGCTTGGGAACAGCAAAAGAAAGGCACGGCAGCTCAGGGTTAATTTACACCAACACCATTTTCATTTTTCACTTTTCTCTTGAAACCAAATCTTCCAGCTGCCACAAACCCCTTAAGCAAGCCTGAAATAATCCAGCTTAGAGCAAGAACTGTGAACTGAAAGGACAAAATGGAAAGCCAACCACAATGCCAGGGCTGCCAAGCAGAGCCTGTCATTACTGCAGGGCTGGAACAAGCCAGGCACCTCTCAGCCCCAGCATTACCCTGCTTGTTCCCCAGCCACAAACACAAAACCCCCTGATTTGCCTTCTCTGAAGGGCACAGCCAGAATGACAAGGTGATGCTCTCAGCAGATGTTTTTTTTTGTTTCATTTCACTGGAATTCACTATAATCAGCAGCCTGAGATGCAGCCACCAGAGCAGCTGGGGCAAACACAGATTGGAGGATGAGCAGGGCAGAGCTCTGACACCTTTAGGTTGTGGTGAATTAAAAAAAAAATATATAATGGGAACTTTAAATAGCAGAGATATTATAGAGATATAGAGATATAATAGCCAGAGACAGGTGAGGTCCACAGAAATGCCCCACTGGCAGTCACTGTGCTGTGCCCAAGCACTCCTCAATCCCAGCATTGCTGAGGTTGGAAAAGAGCTCCAAGACTGAATCACAACCAAAGGGCCACAAAAAGCCCAGGTGGCTTTCAGGTTGTTGCAAATTTTCTTTCAAACCAGGTCTGTTTCAAAGGTAAATAAAACACTCAGTGCTTCTGAGACCCTCACACAATCACTGAGGCTGGAAAAGAGCTCCGAGATTGAGTCCAAGCTCAATCCCCACCTTGTCCCCAGCCCAGAGCTCTGAGAATTGCAGGGACACCTCCAAAATGAGCACTCCAAACCTCTCTGGGTAGCAATTTCCACTTTTAACAACCCTTTCCGTGGGGAAATTCCTCCTGATGTGCAAGCTGATCCTCCCCTGGTGCAGCCTGAGGTTCCATTTTGAAGGAAAACCAGAGGAATGGGAGCAGCAGGTGGGTTTGGGGCTGTCCTCTGCAGCTCCTCAGCTCCCTCCTGCCCTGAATCTCCACTTCCCTACAACCCAGGCAGCAGAAATCCATCCACGTGCACGTCCAGGAATGCAGGGATTTATTCAGATGGAAATGCTGAGAGGGTTTTGATGTGCTGAACACGCTGGGCTGTGCAGAGTGTCTGGGACAGAGCTGGATGTGCCCAAGTGAGGAGTTAAACTGCAGCATCCATTAAATTTCCAGCTGTGTGCATTATTCCCATTAATCCATTGTTTGTGTGTCCTTCCAGCTCTGCTGTCCTTGGAGCAGGTCACAGAGCTCTGTCTGCACCCAAAGGCATCTCCAAAACTCCCTGCATTCCAGCACCCTCGGATGGCACAACGTTTAAACACCTCCTTTGGCTGGAAAGCTTCAGATTCCTGGGATTCATCTCAAAAGCATTAATAAAAACCAGTCAGAAAAACAGAGAAATTGCTCAGGAAACCAACACTGATTTTTTTTTTCTTTTATATATTTTTTTATTCCAGACAGAAGCTACCCAAAAAAAAACAACTGACCAAGGAGAAATGAGAAAACAACAGGCAGCAAATAAATCAGGGATGGAAAAAGAGACACAAAGCAGCAACTCACAGACACCCACAGAGCAGGTGTAAATTATAGTTTTTTGTTAATTTTAATATTTTTTGGCATGACCAAACTGTGTGAAGG